GTCGTTTCAGTAAAATTCATACAAATTTCCTTAAATAAATCAAATTTAGTTTTTTAAACAGTGTATGTATTTGAAACGACACTGAGATCTTTTTTTCTTTTTAGCCGACTTCACAAAAAGGAGAAGGTTATCAATTCGGCGTATTTTTTTTTTTTTATATATGTTACCGCATATCTTTGGACCACGTTAGCCCATTACAATAAATCTTTTTTTTTTAAAGGAAGGTGTTACCTCATAGGTTGTCCCATACTAGTTTGGTTTAAATCCGATCATTGTATCATGAAGAAATTAACGATAATCTTAAATTTTTATATAAGAACTAGCAGACCCCGCGAACTTCGTCCCGGCAAATTTTTTTTTTTTTTTATTGAAACATTTTGGTCCAACATTTTCACCAACACTCCACGTTCATAATTTTCAGTGACGCATTTATCTTCTAATATTACGGTTTGGTAAATAACCTAGAAAACGTGTATATGCATACAAAGATACGTAATAGCATCAGTGCGGTATGCAGTATAAAAATCCTGTTTGTATGAGAGGTGCACTCCTTTATTCCAATAGCCCCAATTTTTCTTCATGACCATGTGACTATGAAATCTCCATACCAAGTTTCAGTACTCTACCACGAACACTTCCAGAGATATGCAGTATGGAAACTTCGGTTTGTATGGGTGGTTCCACACCCCCTTTCCCAATAACCACAATTTTTCTCCATGAGTATGCGCTTGTTTTCATATATTTCCATACCATGTTTGAGTACTCTACCGTGAACACTTTCAGAGAAATGCAGTATGAAAAATTCGGTTTGTATAAGAGGTGCCACGCCCCCTGCACCTAGCGGTATAAAATATACTTTACATCCGATTCTCATACCTACCATATATGCACAAAAAATTTTATAAAGATCGGTCGAGTCGTTTAGGAGAAGTTCGACCACACACACCGTGACACGAGATTTTTATATATTAGATTGAAGTCGGTTTTTTTTAAGAAATGAAAATAAGTGATATGAAAGAGATCACTAAAGCACCCTTTCTAGCTAATTAAAACAATTGCGCTTATACCTATTTTGGTGACATCTCTTAATATGTTCATTGCTTCATTCACAAAAAACAAAATGCTTCAATTTCACATAATGTTTTCTACCATCTTTAATGGAAATCGATTTTTGAACGAAAAAAACTTTATAGAAAATATACAATTTTGGCCTATTTAAAAAAGTATCCACATTTATACTGATCGGAAAAAATAAGTATCTCGCAAAAATTCGTCTAAACATGTATCCAATTGGATCTATTTAGATCCAAACGGCATCCCGAACAAAATGTGTAAAATATGTACATATGTACTTATGTACATATGTAAATATAAATATTGCACATATGTAAGTATAAATACTACATTTTAAGCGTGAAATTCTAAATATTTTCCTTAGTTCAATTCACAGCGTTACTTATTTAAGTAAAGATCACAAAATTTCAATGTACCGGCACTATCAAAAATAAAACTATCGATAGTACAATCGATAGTTTTGCAGCTCTATTCAGCAATATCATTAACATATTTAATACTAAGTCGTCGCTAAGACAACCTATTTCAGGGTAATTTTTTAGATAATTTAATGCCCTATATGAAAATGCCCTATGCATAGAAAAACCATTTATCTCTTCTTTATTACTTTTTTTTTAACGGGTCAAAAGTTATAAAATTTTTAATGAAAACAAATTATTTTACATGTTTTTTACATAGAAAATTTCAAATGCCCACTGACACCTTTTTAAATTGAAATAAAAATTTTTCCTTCTCAGTAAATAAGGCCATAAATTCGCCAGGTTAGTTATTTTGGATCACCCTAATATATATATATATACAAGAACAACTTGTTTACAGTAATAAGAATATGTGGCAAATTTCCCGGAAAACATCCCCCAAAAAAAGTCTTGAGTTTTGATTATGTACTTGGATGTGAAATAACACATTTTCTATTTTTTTAAGCATATTTGCGCCCAATGCAACGAACATACTTGCTTTAAGCCATCTAACAAATGCTTTTATCAAGATGAAAATTCCCCACACGCAAATATTGCCCCTGATAAAAATTATACATATCTCGTAAACAAAATGACATATGTTGGACAATAATTTCGCTAGTCTTTCAGTGTTGTAAAAGGTAATACGGCTTTCCTACGGCACCGTGAATTAGTTTGTTCGATCCTCCAATTACGATCGCGAATTATACTAAGTTCGCACGGCACGCAGTTTGCTCTCCCATTCGTAATTGGCTCTACCATTCGTAATTGGCGTCCCAATTACCCTTCGAATTACGTGATTCGCCATACAAAATATTGAGGACGAATTACCTCATTTGTAGGTAATTCAGATCCAATTACCATGCGAATTACGAACAAATCGCTGCCGTCTCTAATTTTAATCGGAAATTTATCGAACTCAGCTGTCAAAGCAAGAGAGAATAGGAAAAATCAAAACAAATAAAAGAAGAAATGAAGGAAAAACACAATAAATTGTCAAATCGAATTAGGAATGAGTCGTGTAAACGGGGTAATTCACCAAAATAATTCAGAAGCGAACTACGTAATTGGCAGTGCGCGTGGGGACATATTATTATCCCTTTCCCACACTCACATTCTAATTCGACTTGACAGTTCTCTATCTTTGTGTTTTGTTTTGTTTCCTTCGCTACAAGTTGCTAAAAATTTACAAGTTTCGGTATTAAACTATTTTCGTTCTCAGAAAAAGTGCCAGTTTTGATTTGTTAACTGGTGTCGATAAATTTCCGATAAAAATTAGAGATAATTCTCAGGATTATTGGATCTGAATTACCAACAAATCAGGTAATTCACTCCCAAAATTTATTGTGGCGACTTACGTAATTCGGGCGAATTACGAATGAGAGATCGAACTACGTAATTGAGGTGTCGTGAGAAAGCCGTATTAAATAAGGCTAAAGGGCGTTTACACTGTTCAACTCTCACAGGTGGTTAGTTGAATCAAAGGTTTACATCATTTAACTGAAAGTTGGAAAATATAAACTTGTTTTAAATACAATGATTGTGTGCGATTAGGCCATAATAATATTCAGAACGAAATTTTTGAAAATGTCATCACTGCTATAAAACTTGAAAAAGAGGACAAGGAGGACATTTTTGCTTAAAAGGAGGACAGAGAAGGAAAATATTTTTGAGGAGGACAAATCACGGTTGAGGAGGACAATCCTCTTCAGAGGAGGACGGTTGGTCAGCTAATATATTGGCAGTACGTTGAAAGTACACCCCCATATGCAGATATACAATGATAGAATGAGAAAACCAACCAGCCAATGTACCCAGAATGACCTTTGAAAACAATAAGAAATCAGGAGCGGTGCAGTAACCGTCAATATTTAAAAAAATTTAATTTTAATTTTAAAAGCAATAAAAACCCAAAAATCGTGCGGAACTGTGCTGTTTGTAGAAGCAAAAAAGTAAGGAAAATTAATTCGTATTGCGTGCGTCGGTATGTTGTACTATTTAGTTAAAAATGGGTCGTATTATGGAAAACGGGTAGACGCTACATTCCGGCTAAGATGCTGGAAAGGAAGGCACGTATCCTCACAGTATATATTTTAAGAGCGGTTATGGTGATCGCTTCAAGTGTAACTTATACATCTCTTGCTGCTTATTCAAATCCGCCGGTTACCACAAAGCTTGCACCAATTACTTTCAGGGAAAAATTGTTGGTTATTTTTTTTTTTAAATTTATTAATGTTGTTTATTTAAACCGCTCCTGGAGTGACTTGATAGTTGTTTGTTTGTAGTAGTTCACAAATATACATTTATACTAGCACAAGCAAAGATTTATTTGATAGGCTGTCTCCGTTTGATTGCGGAATAAAAACACATTGTGAAGATACCTTACTATCAATATAGAAGTATTACATATACGGTTAAATACCATTCATCATTAAACATATCGCTAGCTTAGAGTGAAAAGTTGCTAAGTCCACTTTTTATAAAAATTCATATTTTGATACAGGAGGCTAGAGAAATTAAAAATGCATCGTTTCGAAAAGGGTAAAGGTCCTCGCTTTATGCTTTCTCGTTTATATTTAAGGAAAGCAAAATTTGTTAAGTCCAAGAAAAGCTCCGAAAATTCAATAAGGTCAAAATAGTACGAAATATTTTAATAAAGATCAAATCCCTCTGATTCGTAAGGAGTTTTGCTTTACTTTAGACAGACAAAATGTTGTATTCAGAATTTTGCGAAATACTTGAAGAATATGGCTATAAGAGGTATTTTTCCTCTCCTGTACAATTTTGAAATTGGGACTTAGCTTTTGACTCTAAGCTAGCGATATATGTAGTTAACTTATGACATAAAGAACTAAATTTAACATATTTAGTTCATAACGAAAGTATCGATATGAGTAGGTATGGATACTTTAGATCCGATATTTTTCTGGTATCGATACTACTTCCAAGTAAAAGTATCGATACCTGCATGGTAACGTTTCATCCCTAGGGAAGATCTGAAATACTATTACACCCCTTTCAGACACGTCAAGTCTTGATTTCAAGTCTGCTCGTTCGTAAGCGAAGGAGGTGAGACGAATGTACTCTTCGCCTCTCTTCTCACCTCCTTCTCCTACTAACCGAGCAGACTTGAAAGCAAGACTTGACGTGTCTGAAATGGGTCTTGTAAAGTGAACTAAAGGTGGGAAGGGTAGTACTTTAGCAAAATGTATGGAGAAAATAAGGCATCTAATGTACATACATATATACATAGTTTTTCATCACAGAGTACTCGATTATAATATAATTATGGCTATGAAACTCCTGCTTGACTGTAGCTAGACATGATGGTGTTACAAGTGTGATGATTAGGTCGCTAGTTTGCAGTATTTTTTGACAAAACCAGGTGTATTTGAATGTGTGCATATATACATATTTCTTCAATTACAATATCGACAAGATCTAAATATTTGACAATTCTCATTCTAGATCTATTTTCTGGCGAGGCGTCACATCCAAACTCTCATGAAAGTACCTCGGACGGCAACTCAGATCACAACTCCTCAGGGGATGAAGACTCCCAGATGAGATTACGCCTTAAACGAAAACTTCAACGAAATCGCACTTCATTCACAAACGAACAAATCGACAGCCTGGAAAAGGGTATGTTTGCGAAGTCTACATGCATTATTAAATTTCGATGAATTTTCTTTTTTTTTAGTTATTTATAAGCTTTTATTAAATTTCACCTGTGTGTAGTCAGATCTTGCAATCAATATTTACCCAACATCCTGATGAGCTAGATACTTGAAATTTCAAACTTTGCTCAGAACCCGATGACTAGGGTTCGAACGATACTATCGGTATTGAGTGGGCATTAGGCCGGGTCGATTTGTGGGGAGGCAAAAAAATCGTCCATTGCTCTGTGAAAATCATATTCTAGGGATCAAAATAAGAAACTTTGCCGAAGGAACCATACCTCTAAAACGAATTCTGATGTCCCCCAATTTGGGTCGAACTTCTGGGTAGGGGCAAATTTTGAAAAATCCCACTTTGACCCATTTAGAGTGCTCCAATCGAGTCCAAATGTATGACCGACCCCCACTAACTTTGGAGGCCCGACCCACCGATGCCAGTGGCACACCCCCTGGAACCCCCCTGGGGGTTCACCATACAAACATTTCAAAAAATCGCCGGTTTTGCACTTTACATGAAAAAATCAGCGAAATGCCTATGTTTTTTCTTTTTGGAGTTTATTTTTCTTTTTAAAATTTATTTAGTCAGAACATATGTAAATGAAAAAATGAATTTAACTTAGTAATAGAAAAGAAATTAAAAAAAATTATTAGAAATTAGCGTTTTTACAACCCTTTTAAAACCAAGGCATCACTGTGATCAAAAAGTTTACAATGAATCCACCATCCTCTACACACAATGAGTCATATACCCAAGCATGATGTTACTGTTTTTGGTGTGTCTACTGATTTAACTGATCTTAATTTACCAACCCCTCTGGATATCTTGAGATATTATTTTTACTTAAGCGAACGTGCTAAAACAGAACAAAAAAGTTTTCCCATAAATCATTCACTATTCAAGTACAAGATAAGTTGATTGGAATTTGGGAAAAACTTGGTATGGAAATAATGCTGAAAAAAAGTGTATTTAATAAATTGAATAAATTGCTTGACAAGTATCAAGAGCAAATCAAGAGAAGAAACAACACCCAAAAATTTACAGAGTATGTAAAATCTCTGGAAACAATTTTTTACATTGGAACATTTAAATGCGATTTGAAGGCAGCTCTATGTGCATGCGGCTGGGTTCCCGAACGCCCCAAAGAGTTCATGCACGATCAACATAATCAGAGAAGACTAACAATGGATGCATTTGTGATGGAAACTGAAGAGCAAGGAGCAACGTCTATGTCATCAATGCCAACATACCAAGATCCCGATGATTCAACATACGCACCGCCACCGGTTCAAGAAGATATGGATAGAAGCACAAGTTCTCAATACACAGAGAGATACGATTGTTTTAACTTTGCCTTGGTATGTGACAGATTTGGTGTGCCTGACAGAGTAGCATCAGCATTGGGAACCGCTCTTTTGCAAGATTTTAAAATTAAAGATAAGCATGGGAAACCTCTCATCATGGATAAATCGAAAGTTCGCAGAGAAAAAGAGAAATGCAGACAAGAAGTGCTTCGCAAATGGTTAGATGATACCAATTTGTTAGCGCTTTCATTCGATGGCAGAAAAGATGATACTTTAACGATAGCTAAAATTGATGAGAAGTATCATACTAGGATGGTAAAAGAACCTCATCTTGTTATTTTAAGAGAACCCAATTCTGAATTGATTGGTTACGTAAGACTGGAACATGAAACCGCTGAATACAAAACAACCAAATTAAATGGTTTTTTCAACGATAACAAGTAAGAAAGTCTAAGTTCGGGCGGAGCCGAACATTAAATACCCGGCGCAATTATTAAATATATGTTTTCCACATTTCCGAAAGCTACCGCTACACGATATGCCGGGGTGTATCAATTTTGAGTAAATTAGCGTCCTTCAATTTCGAAATATTGAAGTTTCAAGCATTTCTGAAATTTACCGTTATATGAGAAGCGGCCGTTATTTTAGTCCGATTTCAATAATTTTCAACGTTTTGCTTTTAATTGCCAAGCACAATAACCACACCGAGTTTGGTACAAATTGGTAGAACGGTTACCGAGATACATATATGTGATCATAAGTGGGCGGTGCCACGCCCATTTTTCAAAATTTTGTCTTAAGCGTATTTCTTGGTAAAGAATTGTTGCAAGCATCAATTTTGAATAAATTAGCTTTAATATTTACTGATTTATCGAAGATTTCGCATTTCTCTAAGTTACCGTTATATGGGATGTGGGCGTGGTTATTGTCCGATTTTAAAAATTTTCGGCCATTTCGTATGTTATACCAAGGTTAACAACTGTGCCAAATTTGGAAGAAATTGGTGCAGCGGTTACCAAGATATACACATGTAACCATAAGTGGGCGTGGCTACGCCCATTTTCCAAAAATTTATAATATTCTTATTTTTCATCTAAAACTTATTGTAAATATCAATTTTGAGTGAATAATCTTCAGTAGTTACTAAAATATCGCAGTTTTCGTATTTCTGAAAATTACCGTTATATGGGAGGTAGGCGTGGTTATTGTCCGATTTTAAAAATTTTCGGCCGTTTGGTATGCTGTGCGAAGGCCAACAACTGTGCGAAGTTTGGAAGAAATTGGTGCAGCGGTTCCTTAGATATACACATGTAACCATAAGTGGGCGTGGCTACGCCCATTTTCCAAAAATGTATAATATTCATATTTTTCGTCTAAAAATTATTGTAAGTATCAATTTTGAGTGAATTATCTTCAATAGTTACTAAAATATCGCAGTTTTCGTATTTCTGGAAATTACCGTTATATGGGAAGTGGGCGTGGTTACAGTCCCATTTCGCCCATTTCCAATACCAACCTACCTTGGAGTAAGGGAAACCTACATACCAAATTTCGTTGAGATATCTCAATTTTTGCTCGAGTTATCGTGTACACGGACGGACGGACAGACGGACAGACGGACGGACAGACAGACATGGCTTAATCGATTTCTTTTTTCATCCTGATCATTTATGTATACATTTGTCTATATCTATCTCGATTCGTTTTGGCTGTTACAAACAACCGTTATGTGAACAAAATTAATATACCCTTGTGCACAAGTGCGCTCGGGTATAAAAATATATCACTGGATGCATTAATTGGAATATGCACTGACGGTGAGCCAACAAACACTGGCCCACACGGTGGAATTATACGACGATTCGAATTGCTGTTAAAAAGACCATTGCATTGGTTCGTTTGCCTTCTACACTTCAACGAACTTCCGTTTCGGCATTTGTTTGAAGCTTTGGATAAATCAACCAGCACTGGACCAAGATCGGCAACCGGAAAACAGCCGTCAAATCGAAACTTGTGAAACTCTTCCGGTAAGTTATTGCTATCACTCATTTATTATAATTGTCAACCATTTTTAATTATTTTATTATTATATATTTTCAGGTGGTGGACGGCTTCCAGAAAATTGAGTTGAAAAACATGCCCCCCGCTCCAGAAAAAATTGAATTTTCCACCGATTCGAAGTACTTATACGACATGGCCCATGCAATTTCTAGCGGCGTGGTTCCGGTGGATCTGGCTAACATCAAACCAGGGAAAATTGTACATTCTCGGTGGCTCACCAAGGCCGCTAGATTATTGCGATTATATGTGACAACGGAAAATCCAGATGCAAATTTAAGAATTCTGGTTGAATTTATAATTAAATGTTATGTGACAATGTACTTCAATATCAAGTATTACAGCTCTGTCGTGTACGGCAGTGCATTATTTTTCAAGTTCATTGGTTGGTCACGATTTCTAGAACCTCGTTTACGCAAAATTGTCAATCAAGTAATTAAAGATAATTCATATTATGCGCATTCGGAAAATATCTTGTCATCAATGTTGTTTGATGATAGCAAGGAAAAGCGCGACTGTGCCATCAAGAAAATTCTACGCTATCGAACCGATGTTGACGAGCCAATGGAAGTTTATAAAAAACCAGATATAAACTAAACAAGTTATACGGAAATGATCAATTTGAATGATATAAATATCGTATTTGAACCACCATTCACGCGAAGCATTCCGTACGATACATTGAAAGAATATTTAAATCAAGATGATCCACCGTTTAATGATCCAAAAATTCCATCACACATACAAGGAACGGAACGACATGTTCAATTGCTAGCTAGCGTTTCCAAACGGGTTATACCGGAAAATGTAGAGGCTGTTATAGCGACGACATTAGAGAGCCGTGCGAAATTGCCCAGACTTGAAAGTAAAAAAGACTTCAAACAATAATTTTTTTTAGTTTCTTTTCTATAACTCACTTAAATTAATTTTTTCATTTACATATGTTCTGACTTAATAAATTTCTTAAGAGAAAAAATAGATATTATTATAAATAAATAATAAATATTATTATAAATAAATAAATAAAAATAAAGAAAAAACATAGCCATTTAGCTGATTTTTTCATGTAAAGGCCAAAAATGGTGATTTTTTGAAATGATTGTATGGGGAACCCCCCAGGGGAGTTCCAGGGGGTGTACCACTGGCATGAGTGGATCGGCCGTCCAAAGTTAGTGGGGGTCGGTCATACATTTGGACTCGATTGGGATTTTTCAAAATTTGCCCCTACCCAAAAGTTCGACCCAAATTGGCGGACATCAGTATTCGTTTTAGAGGTATTGTTCCTTCGGCAAAGTTTCTTATTTTGATCCCTAGAATACGATTTTCACAGAGCAATGCGAGAGCCCTAGTGAGCATCTATACTAAGGGTATACAAATGAGTATTTTAATACTCGATACCTTATTTGGTGGTTTTACTCGATACTTTGCAAAGTACTCGTAGTATCGAAAACTTTTTAAAAAACACACTTTTTAAATTTTTTCTTCCATTGGCAACCCAATTTTCTTTGCTTATATGCAAGGTTCATAGAATACTAGGTTACGACATCAGCCATGGCCGCCATCTTGATGACGTAGATGGCTCAATTTTTGGAGTTGCCAGATTTTTAAAAAATTATCTTATAAAAATACACTATTTTAGTCAAAAATACATCAAGTTTTCTTCAAATATGTGTAACCCTGATATTTACCGTTCGACAATTTGCGTTGAAGCTTGTGCTTTTTTCTGCGTATTTGATTTTATTTAAATTATTAAAAATTTAAGTGCGCTATTTTGATTGCAAAAATTACACTGAAAAAGGTAATTTAGGTTTTACCGTATGCCTAATGATGAATTGCAATTTCGGTAGCGAAATTTTGCCAATTTTGCTCACTTTCAAGAATAACATCACCAGCAAATTTCAATAAGCATTCGATTTACATTTCATTTGTCACTATTGTACGAATATTATTATGTTAATCCAGTTTCACGTGAAGTTATAACATTTTATGTTGTTATAATAAGCTTTGTCACGATTTTATATCAAAAACCCCCATTTGATTAGGATTCCTAAAATATGCTATACGGCAACTATATTTTCTGCGTTTTGTGTACTCTCCATCTTCTTAAAATATTTCAGCCAATCAGAACTCAATTCGCAACTACGTCATTGGAGGAAAACAAATTTTTGACAGTACCATGTCGTAACCTTCTATTTTATGAACCTTACTATCGTTCAATTTTGTCCATCACTTAAAATAAACTGAAATTTTGTGTAGTCTGTTGCATAACAAAAACCAAATAAGTTAAAGTTTAATGGCCTTATTCGTAAAAAATAAAGTAGGTTTAAAGAGCTTAATAAATTGACATTTTTTAGTTTATAAACCTTTTTTATTTTTTATGAATAAGGCCATACAACTTTACGAAATGTTCACGAAAATGCAGAATTTTTAGAAACCTTTTGGGTATGCAGTTTTGTAACCTATTCAACTTTACGTGTAGCCTACTACCGTTGACTTTTAATTCAAACTTGCACACTATTATATTAAAATTGAATAGGCTACAAAAATGCACACCCAAAAAGTTTACAAAAATGTTTAATAAAATTTTATATTCGTGAAAGTATATATATATATATATATATATATTAGACTGCATCACCAAAAAAAGTTGCGGTTTTTCCGCCGGGATTACAAAATGTATTATATTTTAAGACGTCCACCAAAATATTTCGGAAAAATATTAAGATTTAAGCGAGCTGTACCGATTTGAAATTAACTCCAAAAATGGAGTTTTTTATGAATACGAATAGTTTCTTAAAGAACTTTTTGAAAAAAGTCCCCTCATATGACAAAACAGATTAGGCTTAAAAAATCTGCTTAAAAATATTTAAAAATCTTTTCAACGGAATCGTAATAATGAGATTTTTGATGCTGTTTTTTTACTTTATTCAAAGATTGATTTACGAAAAACTTAAATAACTGGGCCAAAACTATTCTGATTTAGACTTATGGGATCTTGGTAGAAAGGTATTTGCCCACTCTTTTTATTTGTATGCAAAAAAAAGTCATTCGTGTCCCATTTTTTTTTCAAATACCAACACATCTTAATTCAACTTTGAATTATGTTCGTTCAGCCTATCTTTCTCTTTCATCCTTTGAATCAGCTTATTAGCAAAGAAATTAAAAGGGTGAGAAAATGCCTTTCCAATGATATTTTTATTTATTTTTTTTTAATATTTTTATGTAAATTTTTTAAGCTTAAACCATTTTGTCATTTAAGGGGATTTTTTCAAAAAACATCTTTAAGAAACTATTTTTATTCATAAAAAACTCCATTTTTGGATGTATTTTCAAATCGGTCCAGCTCACTTAAATCTTAATATTTTTCGGAAATATTTTGGTGGACGTGTTAAAATATAATAGATATTATAATTCTAATGGAAAAATAGAACCGATTTTTCTTTGTATGGGGAGCGATGCAGTCTAATAAGTATAAAAACACATAAATCGCAGTGCACTCTCAGATTACTTACACACAAAATACATACACACACATGATAAGATCACAACAGCACCCCTTATGCTACTAAAGACTTTAGGGGTATTCTCGAAGTCTCGCACCATGCACCGATTGCACGAAATGCAAAAATACTATTCCAAATTTCGAAGAGTACGAGAGCACCACATTGCAAAGTTGAAGCATGCATGGGTAGCAAGCAGCGAAATTATGTATCAAATACAATAACAAGAGACAGCAAAAAAAAAATGAAGTGAGCGAGATGAGAGGAATGAGAGAAATATGTAGCAATTGCAACAACAAAACAACTAGTACAGGGTCGCATTTATCTTGCTATGCTTTTTTGCAAAATATATACCTGGGTTTCGATCTGGCATATCTTGCAGCGATAGGAAATGTTGTTTCCGATGTATTTTGTTGTGTGTTTGCAAGTTATGCAATCCATGCAATCCGTGCTTTGCAAGATTTGGGGAATACCCCTATAGTCGTAGAATGATTGTATACTCAAGTGCAAAGATGTACATGGAAACAATAAAATATTTAGAGGATCAATGCATTAGTCCCTTATCTCATGTAGATAAAAGGGCATATTTACAGATACAAAAATAAATATACGCACTTGACAAGAACATGTTAAGTGCAAATGCAGCAATATCGATATGCACACCTAAATAAATAATCACAACATACATCATACATGTAAATATATACATACATACAAACTTCATTTAGTACATCAGGAGCTGTAGAAATTAAATCACGTCAGAATTAAAATAAATTCTCATTTGTTAAGAATAAACTTGTTGTCTGTCTTGTATCACCCCCACCCGAGGTAAGAGATATTAGATACACCTACAAGTCTGTACATACCGAATATATCATTACCACCTTAACGAGTAACAGTAATTTTCTCCCGCGAAAAGTGCATACGTTTTATCAAAAGTTCAATAAACCTTTCTACCATGGAATTAACAAATGTTTATAAATAAAAGAACTTTACGTCAGCTGATTCGAGAGTAATTTTAACCAGAAAAAGAATAAGGGTCGTTCGAAGTTGAAAGTGTTACCGAGTTACCAGATATCGAATTAATACATTAACGAGGATAGTATGAATACCCTTATTGTTTACATATTTTTCTATGCGTTTTGGCATTTCTCTCTCGCAATTGCACCAAGATGACGTCACGCAAAAATTACGCTCAAAAATCCTCCCTCATAGGCGCAATCTTGTATTCTATCATTCTTGGGCATCATCGATAACTTAATATGTATGCGCTTCTTTTGTGGTGGAGAAAGGCAATATATTTTATCATTATTATTCTTAAGCGCAAACACTTCCATGCCACATCAATTTGGAACCATTCAGTAGCGGACCTCGCTCTGAGATGACAACAACTCTATGCAATAACCACCGTTCACTGATCATATCGAAAAAATCGGTGAATAAACTTTAAACGTTACAAATGACTTATGAACCAAAAGAGATTATTGTGAGGTATCAAGGTCAATATGGCATCAGTTAGATAGGAAAGAGACTAGATGTTCTTAACCTCAACAGCCCTGTAGTAATAGTTCTTATCAGCTCCACGACAGGACACAGTTATTGCATTAATTCTCCAACAAATTCCCTTTGTAAAAGCTGCCGCAATGAAAACGATGGGGAACCATTTCACCACTTTCTGAATCGATGCCTGTATTGGAGGTGATTCAAATACCAAGGGTCACGCTTCTTCCCCAGTCTGATAGTGTTATCGAAGGTTGAACTCTTGGTCCTCCTTAATTTATTTTGTGATAACAAGTGGATCAGCAGGTTAATGCCTTGATTAGTCTTTCTTTCCTCTTTATAATCGAACAATTGGGATTGTGTCTTCTCCTGATACTCACTCACAGAGGGCAACCACAATGGAAAACCATGCCTGCAAGTGGAAGTATGGAACTTTTTATACACGCCCTTTAAACCTTACCTTACCTAGGCTAGATTTTTAGAGCTTAAGGGTGTGCCATATTTGACAGATTCGACGAGGTTCTAGAACATGGTGTACTTTCTAAAGTATCTTTTTAAGATAGAAGTAAAAATTGCTTACACATATGTATATATGTATGTATATGTACTATATGCATATTTATTTCTTTGATTTTTGCAGAATTCGAGCGGACTCACTACCCAGATGTATTTGCACGCGAAAGGCTAGCAGAAAAAATTGGTTTACCCGAGGCACGTATTCAGGTTTGTCTTTTCATTTTTATTTTGACTTTGAGTGGCTACTTTTGAGTTCTTGCTTTTTATTCTCATTTCTGTTTGATTTATTTCCGAGTGTTGAATACTAATTAGGCTAGTATGATGAGATGCGATATACGGACTTGGACAAAAAACTAATGGCACGACATTTCGGCCATATTTCTTTGGTTTATTTATAATAATAATAATAGTTTGGCGCTTACACATATGCTAGTGTTTGACCGAGCTTCTCCTCTGATTTGCGGCGTGCGCCTTGCTGTTATCACACAAAGTGGACAGTTTACGCCCAGTTTTACGCCGAACAACGATTGTATTTTTATGAGAAGCTGTTTTCAGGCAGAAATACAATCGGATGTCTGCCATTAGCTGCCGACTGGCGACCGCTGTTAAGAAAAAACCGTGTATGGATATCAATAAAATGGATATGGATATCAATAAAATTTCCAGGGGTTATTTCTTAGGCATTTGGTCTCAACATAGGCTACCAAATAACTCGCTAGGTGGCACAGGGGCCGATATATTTAGGAACCCCGTATTTATGGTCTGATAAGGCTCAAATTCATGATGTCCGGATATTACTTGCGAAGTAAAAGATACTTTTGCAAATAATGGTGCTGATAGTTCGCGCCGGAGTAGGAGTTATTTAGGTTTATGCTATACGAATTAATTTTTTAGATGGTTAAATGAATATATGGTCGAGACATTCATAACGGGTATTCCTTTTTGGGAACATTTTCGAGCTTAATTTATATGGAATAGATGCGCAACACCGTCTGCAAAAAAATTTTAAATCAACGCGGGTTCTTAGCTGATTCTAAGATGCTATTTATTGTACTAATGACTGATTAAATCTTTTGCGTTGGACATGCAAAAATACTGTTGAAAACCACGAACGATTCATAAAGAAAAAAATTCTTATACGTATAAGGTTAAAACGACTGAAGTGCAGAACCTTCCTCATACATAAATAGGCCAAGCATAAAACCGCTGTGATATCATACGTAATACTAATCGTTTTCGATGGTATTAGTTTTGCCGATAGTCTTATTTCCACCTGTGAGACCTCTGCAAAAATATTTCACTTAAAGCGTGCGTAATCTTCTTCTATGATCTTGTAACTACAACATTGGTCCCGGATAAGTGCGTTCTCTTACTTAAACACCGTTAAAATGGGACCATTGATATACGTATGTATGTACCTACCGTGCTGCCTTCTTACTAAGATGTGGTCGAATCTTTCCTTGCAAATACGTTGCTTTCGATGTCCGGGCTTCCAAGCAGCTATATTAATTAGCATTCAGTAAGAGAATTCGCATTGTCAATGTGTGAGCGGAAAGCTTTTCAGGCTTCCCGACTGCCACGAAAAATAAAGATTCGTTTGTACTCTTAGATCTAAGAGCTCGCTCCGTGCTGCATCCCAGATGAAAAACGTTTCTTCTTCATACATCCGTAGTCCGTTGATGTGTCTGGGATATCTGAATGGCCGAGGTTCCCTTTATCCATGAACTAGCTTCTTTATGTCTTGCTGCTTCAAAAACGGGCACACTGACAAATTTGATCAAGCGGATCGCATTTAGAGTGCATTCGGGCGTGAGAGAAAAGGGCGCATACAAAATTTTGTACTTTACATTTTTAACCTCATCTTTCATTTAGCCATGTAAACAGTAAATTCGTATATTATGAGCAGGTCCGAAAAGTTTACGGTTTTGCTTGGAGTTGCTTATTTTGCTTATTCAGGGTTTCCAAGCCTAATTTTAACGATCATGCTTATTTTGCTTATTTCATTGTATAAAGATAAGTTCGGACCTTTTAAGTAAAGAGTCAAGAAATAAATTGCTATTATTTCGTTTTACAGCCTGCTGTCTCACTTTTTCCTTATGAAATAATGGAACATGGATGGCATATATTTCTGTTGAAAACAAGGTTACCTTTTACCCTTCACAAACAAACTTTAGCAAATCATTGTAGAAAGCGTAGCAAATTTCTTAAGAACTTCGTACTGCTTAAGGAAATTTGGCTCAACACATTTTTCTTTACCGTTTCTTGGGCTTTTTATTTGTAGAACTAAAGATATGTTTACAAATAATAAAATAAAAACAGATTTGGTTTTTATTAACCCGTAACTTTAATTGCATTTCTGCTTGGATACAAAAATTCAAAACCAAGGGTTGGTCTCTACGGGAAGGCATTGTGTTTTCTTTTATTCCTCAAGCTAAAGAAATGTTTACAAATAATAACATAAAAACAGATTTGGTTTTTATTATCCCGTAACTTCAATTACATTTCTGCTTGGATACAAGAATTTAAAACCAATATTTAGTCTCTACGGGAAGGCATTGTGTTATTGAAGAGCATAAAAATAATTTATCCCAAGTGGAGGATAACGAACATTTAAAAAAAATTAAAACGACCAGCGCAGATCTCTTTTATTTGAGAATATCAAGCAACACACATGGGCATACCCATTGTTATTTTTTTTATCCTTGAAATAAACTGAATAAAAAACAAAACATTGAACTGCACTTAAATTTTGTTGTTTTGGGAGAAAATTCGCAAGCATATTTACCAATGTTTTAGTGCTTATCTAAGCGCTTAAAATGGATTTTTTTTTGCTTATTTTCTTCGGCCATGATCATAAGCAAAGCGCCAAAGTAATAGATACGGAGTTTATAAATATCCAGCGCCTGAATTTTTTCAAAAGCATTTCTTATCTTAAAATTAATACCCAATATTATTTTCAACCAGATCAACCAATAAATACCGAGTTTCTAAATATCTCGACTCCAGGGACTGGATACTGTAACTGTGAGAAAATGTAGTGTACACCGAACGCAAAACTTATAGCCAGGATCAGGATTTTAAGGCATTGGGTCGTATCTGTAAACAAGTTACAGATTTACACGTTTCATGTCTTCCTTGACTAAAAATATAAATTTTGTTTTTGCCTTTTTTGATTATATTTACTTTTTCTGCCTTTTTAACGTCATCTCTTCATTTTCATACTTCTATGTCTTACAACACTGGAAATCGTTCCTTCATCTGATTGATTGTTTTTATTCACCTTACGTAGGAAGGACATGGTGAATTCATATAAGGTGATGTACAGGCGAAATTAGATTTTCGTACTGATGTCATGATGTGTTTATTTACGTTTGTTTTGTTCTTGTTGCCATTGGGGGTATAATTGGTTAGTGTAGTTTTTTGCTTTTATGCCGGTGCTGCCACCTTAAATGGATTCGCCTGTGGTGGTGAGTTTCCGTATTTTGTTTGTAAGTCAAATATTTGCGAATATTTAAAATGCCTAAGGCCGATTGTTACAATTCCGTGAAAATCCAGGGCTATATATTGCTGAAAAATCGTCATTTTACCTTTAAAAAATCGTAATTTCGGCCAAAAAAAACGAAAATTTTTGGTTATAATACTAGAAGAATTGGAGGAAAACGTACATTTGACTGCTGTGGAATAACAGTAAATAAACACGACAAAAAACACCACAACCTATTACTTAATTGTTAAATAACGACGAATCGAACGAGCTTTGAAGTGGAGTTTAGTAGCTGTAGATGTGGAGATGAACTTTAGTTCTTTCAAATCAATGATTCGCGATAATTGCATGAGGCCTGCAAATTTTAAAATGCACTTCGTGGCATTGAGCTACTATGATAACACAGCCGAGTAATCATAGTAAACTTATGTGCAGAAGTCGAAAAAATTACAGCCGCACCAAATTTTGATAAGTTTTAAAATATTTTTGTTGATATTGAATTTTGGTTAGTTTGTTTGTAAAAATATAGTTCATTCTTTAAGAACATCCGTGTAAATATAAGTTTAAAGGGAATGCCACACGAATGGTCATTTGCCCAAAATTTGGTGCAAATCTATCCCAATTGTGTGAATACCCAAATATTTTTCTTTATCCCAATCTCGAAAAATAATTTGTACAAATTTTTCATAGAAGATCGCTGTATTGTAGAGCTGGAAAACTATCTATGGCACTATTGATAGTACCGATGGTTTGCCTTTTATTGCCACTATCGACACCATCGATAGTGTCGTTTTTAGGTTGTTAGTATCGATTGTTGTAGCCGCCATCGAAAGTCTTTATGACTATCGATAGTTTCTTCTCTATTTCCACTATTTCATTAAAATTTTAGCTTTATTGGTGCAAAGGCTTTTTCGTTTAGATACATATGTGTGGAAGTATGTAAATAATGCGAAAAAGTTCATATAAAAGTGCAACCAGCGGCTACGATCGGAGTAGATTTACTCCGATTTCTCTTTTAAATTTAAAATCTACTCCCTACTCCATTTGACCTACAATATGCTCCGATTTTTTTACTTTTTTCCATTCACATTAAGAATATATTACAAAATAATTAAGTTTTAAAATTTTTGTTCAATAACTTCTGTGGCACCAAGATTTTGTATAGCAAGGTGGAACAGAAGTTGTCTATTTTACTCTTTAACCTTTTTTTGCGGAATCACTTTTTTATTTTCCAAAGCAAGGGACTGATTATGGACCAGAAAAATGTTTTGGAAAGGTGTATGTTTAGCAATTTGGCAGAGTATAAGCTGGCATTAGCTATTTTACCGCGGAGATGAATCTCATTAAAAATAACATATAAAATGTCCTATCTTTTCTTATATCTAGTACGTTATACATATACATGCTTTGCAATATTGTGATTATATTTGAAATTTATGTAGATATAAGCAAAATGATTAATAAACTGAAACTGAAAAATACAGGAACAGGCTTAATGTCGAAACAATTGAAAGCTTAATGTTCGCAAGAACTCTTATTAACAAAAGGTCAGAAATTTATACGCCGCACAGTGGTCGGATAAGGCATGTTTTACCCGAAAAGGCCTATTTTTAAACTGTGATAAATTAACTGGAGTAAAGCCATTCTTATTCAGAAATGTCTAGCGAACTGAAAACTGGTTAGTATTTTTAATAATATGTGCTGAGCAAGCCGTTGAATCCAT